AACTATTTACATAATTGATGAATCCTAAGCTATGTTTCTAAAATAAAATTTGTGCTTCACAAAACTAAATCTGTCACTGTTTTATTCTTTTCAGGTGTGTACTCAATCTTCCTCTTCTCTTCAGAGTTCGAACTTCCTGTCAATAAGGATTGGAATGAACTTCTCAATTATTGTTCTTCTGTACTCAAGCTGAGAGTCAATCTGCATTCTTATCCAATTTATGAGTTCTTTCAATTTTGGTCATTCTTCTCGTGGAGTTATTTTCGGCTTCCTCAACAGTCTCTTTTCTAATGATATGCGAATTTGTTTCAAGGTACCAGAGCTGTACTTGGCTATATCATATATCCTGAATAATAACTTCTCATTCAGATTCTTGCATATGTATCCTGGAGGATCACACACTACAGTACTTGTATGAAAGTTTGCCAATTCTCCAAGATTGATCTCCGGATGCATCAAATATACCCTATCTCTGTTCAGAGTTATGGCCAACTGAAAATCAGACATGCCACCCATTAAGGTAGCTCTAAGCATGCCATGAACAACAACAATGAAACCCTTTCTGAACTTGACACCTTTATCTTCGAATGGAGCTAATTTGTAACACAATTGGAGCAGATCATTATGATTGATGAATTTGAAATCAGCCTCTGAGAACTCATACACCCTATTATTTGTTCTCTCAACACTAAAAACATGGTATATTATACCCTGCCATGTTTTCTGTTTGATGTCCACCATCCTCATAATATTTAGCTTTGAGTACACATCTCTGCGAAACTTGCCTACTCTATGCATAAACTGTTCATATTTTCACTTGTATGCAAGTGGCTTCCTTGTAAATGTATCCACGTAATTCTTGACGATGTAATTGGATTTGGACATGAAAAAATTCCAGTACTTGAATTCAAGTAACCATTCATCCAAATCTACCTTTTCTTTCTCTTTCTCTTTCTCTACCACCACAGTTGGAACCGGTTTTAAGGTTCAAGAAATGAAGTACTCCTGTGGAAGCAACACATCTTTACCTGATGCTTTCTTCGAATTTTCCTCCATTGTCACCTCCTTGTGACAATCCTTACATAGTTCTCTAAGCTTTATCCTCTTCTTTAATTCATCTAGAAACTTTTCTTTCACATCCTCTTGTACATTACGTGTATTCTCCATGGCATTCAGAAAATGTGTCAACGCTTTGCTTGTAAACAGAGGAAGTTTTGTAACTTTCAGCACCCTTGGACCCAAAGAACTTCTAAAGTAGTATCGTGGTTCAATACGGTATACAAATTGATTCATAAGCGCCACGTTCTCATAGCTTTCATCCAAAGGCTCATAAGCATTAATCCTTGTCAGGTCTAGATCTAATGCCATTTGCATATCATATAAACCCAAGTTTCTGATGTAAATCCCCATTGACCTTCTTATTTCTACTTCAGCCCAGGAAAGCTCTGCTTGTTCGAAATACTTCAGGAGGAAAAATTGATCTTCTAACTTCAACCTTGGAAAATCAGCACTTGAGATCAGATATACTCGATTGTTTGCTCTCATTATTTCTAAATCCAAGTAATCCATAGTAGCAAAGGATCTTACATGGAAGTTACGGACTTCAACAATTTGGCTGTTTATATTTGTCTCTGAATCGTTTCTCCTTAGTCTGCTTATCATTTCAGAGTACATCATCTGCGCTTCTCCAGGCCAGTTCCCATCAATTTCATGTTCCAGCATGACTTCCTCCTCATCATCTATTCTGAACATGTGGTTGTAAGACTTAAAAAAGCTAAAAGAGCCACCAAGATTATGAATAACCATCTCCGAATCGTCCTCAGCAATTGACTCTACTTGTTCGGCTACTGTTTCAGAATTTTTCTTCAGAGGTTGATTGGTTGAGGGAGTAAAGATTTTTTCATGAATTGATTGAATAAATGTATCAAAAGGTGTGAAAGAAATGATTGCAACACATGAGTTTTGAAAAATATGCTCATGTCTGGGTTGTACTTCATCATCTGGATTTTTAAAGTCCCTATCTGAACTACGAATGTCAACGGTGTCAATTTCCTCCGTTTCCATCTTCTCCGTCTCATTACAGCCTGCTTCAGTATTATCCACATTCATTCTTCTTCATCACTATTTCCCTCTTCAATGTTCTCTTCAATTGTTGTATCTGCATTAGATGCCATTCCCAGTGATGTTGCCTCTTCATGCCTTATTCTCTTACTCCTATTTTTATTATTATAGCCAGCTTCATCATTAGAGTCATCATCTTCATCATGCTTCCTTTTAGATTATTCAGTTTGTTTCTTGCAACCCATTTTTTGAATATCTCTGTGTATCAACATTATCATGTATCTTAAACCTGTCAAATCCGCCTTCACGTCATTTAGTTGAGCAGTTGTGGCAAAATCTTCGGTATGAGGCATGTAGGCTTTGGGAATGGCAGGAATGGGATTTGCTTCTGAAGCGGATGGATCAGTTGATGGTTGGATTGGATTTTCGGTTATGGCTTGTCCATTGGTGTAATCCATTTGAGATTGCCTAAGGGTATTTACTTGACTAAGAATGGCAGCTTGGTTCTTTGTTTGTATCTCAATCATCTTATGAGACAAAATGTCAAAGTTTTTGAGGATACAGCTCTGAAACACCTTCAATTCTTCTTTCGTCACAAAGTTTGATTCCAAGTTGTGGAGAGTTGTTTGGCTGGTTTTCGTGATATTCTTCACACCCTCCAATTCATTTTCTGTTAGAAGAACAGAACTGTCAAGCCCATCATTTTTTTCCACGATTGCTTCCTCCATTGATGTCATCTTCTCGTGTAGACTTCTTGTTTCATTTGCAGCCGTCAATTCATTGATTTTAGAGTGAATCTTTGCAAATTCACTCTGGCAAAAGACACTGAAGTTGTTAAAGTCCGTCTGCATGACAATAATTGATAGGAAGGATCAACAAATGATCTTCTTTGCAATCCCGCAGCAGTTGTGGGTTGGCCTGTTGATGTGACAAACGCATCATGTACAACAGATGTACTTGGAAATGGAATTTTTTGATGTTTATTCCACCAGGACTTCCACCCAATCCTTGACCATTCATAGACGAAATGTCTATAAGTGTTAATGCAGGTTGACAAACAACCTGAACAGGTACCTTATGAAAACGTGTGCTGGTGAAAGGAAGATTAGCAGTTTCTGGTTCTATATTTGGCTCAATATGGGATAAACTATCCGACTCAATGTGAGCAAATGAATGATGAGGATGATACAAGTGTTCTTCAATTTCAACATTAGCTTCCTCCAACTGAGGAGCTAATGGATTATCCATTAGTTGTCTCAAAAAGTTTAGTGGCCCTTTTGAGAAGGCGATGAGTGGGTGGGTAGGGTTGATATGAGTGTCGGCATGGGCTCAGTGCCTTTTTCAATACTTTCCACCAGAGAATGTGGTGAGGTAGCAGTTGTGGGTGCCCGTCTTTTTGGGGATGGGGCAGGGTCCTCTTCTTTTTTTGACCCTGTTCTCTCTAAATGCTCTTTTTTTTTCTCTTCTACCCTGTCTTTCATTCACATTTTCCCTCTCTACCCTTTTAGTAGACATAACCCTATGTGTCTTCTCCCCAACACTCTTTTATTTTGACCCTTCACCACTCGTTCTAGGTTGAAGTCCTTCTTGGGTAGGGTTTGTCGGTTCTGGCAGTCCCATAGAAGCGCAATATTCTCTAAGTACCCTATTATCGTTCCTATTATATGCTCTCAATTCCAATGGTAGTGGCATATGATTTCTAAAATTAGAAAGAAGAGTAGATAACCTCAGTGAATCCATGTAGAATTGTAGAGCCATCTCCTCCTCCTCTCTTGTTGGAATGTTCGGTCGTAAGTGCATTGCCCCCTTCACGCAAAGTTGGAAGAATCTTTGAAATGGTATGTACCTAGGTGGCTTTGTAATGTACGCTTTAATTTCTTCCATAAATAGTGATGCATAATCATAATGCATGTGGAAAGCTATTCCATGGAAGATTGTCAATGTTGGCCTTGATGCTTGATCCAGGCTTGAAGCTTTGGGCGATAAACATCGATTGATACAGGAGAACAAGCAGTACCAAATAGGTGGTAAACCTTTTCTCCTAAAACTGCTTAGTGTTGGCAGGGGATCTTTGTATCCCAATGAAATCAAGTCTTTAATCATCTTCTCTTGAGATGGTAGGACATCAAAATCTGATTTTCCCAACACTTCATTGTTATTTGGAAGGAAGAGCATCTTCCTTATCAGTTCAAGGGACAGTGAAAAATCGTATCCGCCTATAGTTGAACTAATTTCATTTTCTTCCTCATCATAGGTTAGATTTTTCCACCACTGTTGAAGATATTGAACAGGAACTTCATACCTTCTGGTGAACATCCTTTTAAGAGGATGTCTTTTAAGCATCTCAATAACAATTTGATGCTCCGGTTTGAATTTTTCAGATTCCAGATTTAGGGCACTGTTGTTTTCCTTAATGACATCATATTCAGATTCCGGTAAAATAGTCTGACTTACATCAGGCTCTGCAATAGCTACAGACATAGCAGCAGTCTGTGTTGGTTGGCTATCATGAGCATCTCCCACTTCCCCTTGAAATTCAGCGGGTTCAGGGTTTTGTTCTTCATGCTTCTCAATGACCTGTTCGTCATTTGGCACCGCATTTGGTTTCGAATGGTTGAATATGGTGTTAGCTGATGGAGATTGGTTTCCTAAAGGAAGGGAGACATGTTCCTGGATAGCAACTTCAATGTTTCCAATTAGGATAGAAGTACATTGATTGACCTCATTGTCAGAATCAGAAGAAGAAGAGGGTTCGAAACATGTTTTGGTGGTATAATTTGTTTTCTGGACGTTGGACTATGAGTTAGCCATTGATGGATTGCTTTGGTTTTCTGTGATTGCAAAAGGTAAGTTCGTATGAAAAAAAGGAAGGCGGGAGTGATGACAGTTCACATATATGGAGTATATATTTGGTTTTAAATTTGAATAAAGAACTCGAAATGTTTGTTTATAGAGTGACACATGGAAGTGTAGAGTACTTATTGGAATCATTACGCTTGACAATTTCAAACCGTCAATTTACCATTACGATGTAAGTTAATGGTTGGTCGTATCATATACGAACACGTGGTTGATTACCGTGTTAGCTGCATTTTAGAGGAAGGAATGTGTTGCAAGTCTTGAACACTCAGAGTTACTACCTAACTCTGAATTTCATTAAACAGTTGTAAGTCTGTATGTTGCCAGATCTACAACTCTGATCGATGCATATTCAGACTTAGTACATCTGAACTACAAACACATGGTGGAATAACCAATTTTCCCCCAAACGATACTTCCATATCTGTATAGACCTTATACACTATCTTTTGTTATGTGACAGTCAATATTTGTAAATTAACCCTTAGAAAAGCCATGAAGTTGTTAAACTCGATATCAAAATATTCAAGTCTGGAATGTACAGAGTCAGTTTCTTGCTTCCGCAATTATAACCACAATCTTACATCTGGAACCAATTTCAAACTTAGAAAGGTGTATTCACAACAGACGGCGTGGGAAGACTTCCTCAGCCTATAGATTTGGACGTACCAAAAAATGTTCCAGATTTGCAACTCTTATTACTTAGCCTGCGTTGGGTAAAACTTTTTCTTCAGATCAGGCTTCAATATCTGTATAAATCTTATAAACTACCCTTCATCATGTGAAAGTCAATATTTGAAATTTAGTCCTTAAGAAAGTGAATATTTGAAAATTACTTCCGCACGTAAGTTGTTATAACTGAAGCCGTAAATCTTGTACACCACGTTCATACTTGGACGTGGACGGGCTACACAACCTCAGAATTTTCATAAATTCATAAACTAAAAATTTAAATGATCGTGGAGTATAATCCCCATAAAATCGAGAATTTTAATCGTGGGATGTGGATTTAAATTGTGATTCAATTTCCGTACTCCTCACTACTCAAATTGGCAATTTTTCTCAACGTCAAACCAGAACAATCAAAAAGCAATTGTTTTTCTTCTGTGAGGTATGATAACTTCTTTTGATTAACCTACTTCAATGTTTTCATTAATTAATACATGTTTTTTCTTCTACAGATTAATGGTCGTTAACAATATTACATTCATTGAAGATCTTGACATACAGAAGGATGATTTCACTGTGACGGTCCGAATTGTTAGACTTTGGAAGCAACCGGTGTTTAAAAACACAGATGAAAAATATAAAAATTGAAATGATATTAATGGATTAACATGTAAATTCTTATATCTTTTTCAAGATTTAGTATTGTCAGTATGATAATGAATAATTTTCTAAACTATCTAAGATATTAGTGTCATCACTACTCATTGATTTTTCATTTTTATGTTCTTAGCGCACTAAATTACAAGCAAATGTCCTACAAAAATGGGTTCCTAAGTTCAGGAAGTTACTTCAGGAAGGGGCTTCAGTTTTGATTAAGAATCCTACAATTGCTCGACATGCAACGAAGTACAAGTTAATTGATAATACAAACAAGTTAAGTTTGTATTACAAGACTTCTGTGTCAGATTGTCGAGATTTTAAGGGTTTCATTTTTGGTTTCTCATTTGTGAAATTTGCAAATCTTATAGCCAAAAGTATCCCAGAACATATAGTAGTTGGTGAGTGAATTAAATCCTTTTACATTGATTTCATTGTTTAAATAAATTATATATTGTACTAACATTGAAGTTAGATGTTGTTATGTTAACTTTTTGATGATTACATAGATGTAATTGGTGAAGTTATTGCTTGTGAGACAATGGTGACTCTTCTAGATAACAATACGGAATCAGAAGAGAAGTTGTATGACAGAAGGATTGGGAAAGAAGTTAATAGGAAGTGGCTTTTTGAAAGTTGGTCTGATGCCGATCAGGAAGGAAAAGGATCAACTATAAAAACATTAAAGAGTCCTAACGTTGAAAAGTAGTATTCTTGCTTTTGATGAACAATTACATTGAATCTCGTATTTGGCATTGTGTTGGTGGTTCAATTTTAGTTTGGATAATGATTTTTGCATTTGTGCTTATTTTATGATACACGTTTTCGTTATTATTTGTGTTGGATTTGATATTAAACTCATTTGCATTATATAGTTTTGTAATGCTTGATTTTCATGTTCATGAAAATTATATTTGATCGTAAGTATAACTATTTTTGGACGAAGAGGTTCTGGGCAGATGAATAACAGGCTATACATGATCAGATGGGCTTTAATCTGAATCATTGTAGGTCTTCATTGATTTATTACACGGACTCTGTATACTGCATGCAGATATTCAGACTCGCAATACAGAGCTCTGTAGTATGCAGGGTTGTTATTCAGCCTACTTTGAAGATTAGAAGCCTTGTATGCAGATTCACAAATCTGTAGGAAACTTACTTATACAGAGGCTATGCATTGAACATGCAGAGCCTATATATAGTTCTGCATTGAGTATGGAAGCAACTTCAGCCGTGCTGCATGGTATATGTAGATAGTCTGCGTAGTTCTGTATGAAGCACAGAATCAGGATCAGAGGTTCTGCGTAGCATGAGGAGAGACATATCTCATACTCAAGAGCTAAGTGTATTATGTAGAAAGGTCATCTTCTATTTCAATTATCGTATAGATCATCTTACAATAAGCAGAGATACCACTCCTGGAGCAAGAGAAGGAGCCAGAATTATTCTAATGTTGGAGTTTTTTAGTACTTCTTAGGAGGTTCATCAGGATTGAAACATCTAGACCTTCTTGTGTTAGCATTTTTTTTAACTTTCAAGCATTGTACTTTCGTTTCATTCGTATTGTACTCTCTGAAAAGTTAATGTAATACAGAGGTTATTATTAACCTCTGCCTTCAATTAGCCTTATGTTTTTAATTCACGTAAGAACCTGCCTTCTTTTTAACTAACGTTGGAGTATCGAGAACTTCTTATGTTGTTCTTCCTTTTTCCTAATTTAAGAAAAAGGATCGGCTACAAAAACGTTAAAAATCCCTCGATGTAAAAAGTAATATTCGTGGTTCTGGTGTACAACTTGATTGTGTCTCGTACTTGGTATTGTTTTTGTCATTGGATTTTTGTTTGTACAATGATCTGTTAATTGGTCACTGTAGTATGGTATACGATTTCATTATTATTTCTTTTGGGTTTAATATTGAACTTATTTGCATGAGCAACACAGAGGCTCTGCACTTAAGTGCTGAAAAAGAGTTCTGTCTTTTGATGTACTACGTTGAGGCTCTCCCCTTCTTTATATAGGGAGTATATATTTGGTTTTAAATTTGAATAAAGAACTCGAAAGTTTGTTTATAGTGTGACACGTGAAAGTATAGAGTACTTATTGGACACATTAAGCATGACAATTTTAAACCGTCGTATTTTAAGAAAATGTTTAATTACCATTATGATGTAAGTTAACGGTTGGTCGTATCATATTCGAACACACGGTTGACTACCGTCTTAGATGCATTTTAGAGGAAGGAATGTGTTGTAAGTCTTGAACGCCAAGAGTTGCTGACTAACTCTGAATATTATTTCAGAATGTTAGGTCTGAATGTGCCCAACCGTTGAACTCTGACACTTGCATATTCAGACTTAGTACATCTGAACTACAAAGACCCGGTAGGATAACAAATTTTCCCTCAACCGATACTTCCATATTTGTATAGACCTTATACACTATCTTTTGTTATGTGATAGTCAATATTTGTAAATTAACCCTTAGAAAGCCATGAAGTTATTAAACTCCATATCAAAATGTTCGATTCTGGAATGTACAGAGTCAATTTCTTGCTCCCGCACTTATACCCACCATCTTACATCTGGAACCAACTTCATATTTAGAAATCTGTATTCACAACAGACGGCATGGGAAGACTTCCTCAGCCTACAGATTTGCACGTACAAAGAATTGTTCCAGATTTGCAATCGTTATTAAAAAGTCTGGGTTGGGTTAAAACTTTTTCTTCAGATCAGACTTCAATATCTGTATAAATCTTATCAAGTACTCTTCATCATGTGAAAGTCAATATTTGAAAATTAGTCCTTAAGAAAGTCACTAAAATTGTTAAATTACATATTAAAATGTTCGTGACCTATTACATACATAATTACTTCCGCATGTCTGAATTTATAACTGAGGCCGTAAATTTGGTACACCACGTTCCTACTTGAACGTGGATAGACTACACAACTGAAGCTGTAAGTCTGGTACACCACGTTCATACTTGAACGTGGACAGACTACACAACTTCAAAATTTTCATAAACTCATAGACTCAAAATCTCAGTTATCGTCGGTTATAATCCCCATAAAATCTGGAAATTTTAATCGTGGGATGTGGGTTTAAATTGTGATTCAATTTCCGAACTCCTCACTACTCAAATTGGCAACTTTTCTCAAAGTCAAACCAGAACAATCAAAACCAATTCCTTTTCTTCTGTAAGGTATGATAGCTTCTTTTGATTAACTTACTTCAAAATTTTAATTAATTAATACATGGTTTTCCTTCTACAGATTAATGGCTGGGAACAATATTACATTCATTGAAGATCTTGGCATACAGAAAGATGATTTCACTGTCAAGGTTTGAATTATTAGATTGTGGAAGCAACCGGTGTTTAAAAATCCGGATGAAATATATTCCATTGAAATGATATTAATGGATTAACAGGTAAATTCTTATATCTTTTTGAAGCTTTAGTATTGAAAGTATGATATTGAATTATTTTCTAAACTGTCTAAGATATTCACATCATCACTACTCATTGATTTTTCATTTTTATGTTCTTAGGGCACCAAAATACAAGCAAATGTCCTGCAAAAAAGGGTTCCTAAGTTCAGGAACTTACTTCAAGAAGGGGCTGCAGTTTTCATTAAGAATCCTACAATTGCTCGATATGCAACGAAGTACAAGTTAATTGATAATACAAACAAGTTAAATTTGTATTACAAGATTTCTGTGTCGAATTGCCGGGATTTTAAGGGTTCCATTTTTTGTTTCTCATTTGTGAAATTTGCAAACATTAAATCCAAAAGTATCCCAGAACATACAGCAGTTGGTGAGTGAATTAAATCCTTTAATATTGATTGTATTGTTTAAATAAATTATATATTGTATTGTTATTGAAGTTAGATGTTGTTATGTTAACTTTTGGATCATTACATAGATGTAATTGGGGAAATTATTGCTTGTGAGACAATGGTGACTCTTCCATATAACAATGGAAAAGCCAAAAGAAGAATGCAGTTTTAGATGCAGGATTTGGGGTAAGTATTTCACTTTAATTTACTAGCAGTGATCTTCAGAAACTATATAATTCTTTTCTTACAATTTATTTAGGGGGATTAAAATACAAGTTACATTGTGGGATGCCTTCGCTGAGGAATTGAATGATTATGTTTGTACAAACAAGGACAAGGGGATTGTTGTTCTTGTTATTCAATTCGCAATGGTCAAAATTTACAGAGGTTTGCCTGATTCATAACATGTATAGTTCTTTCAAGCAATATTGTGTTAACTTGCTTCATTTGATTGTTTCAGAAAGACCATTTCTTTCTAACTCATTCAATGGTACGAGGCTGTTCATCAGTTCGGACATTGATGAAATTAAAGATTTTAAGAAAAAGTCAGCAATTTTTATTTGTTATTTATTTCTGTTATATTTCTGTTATATATCTTATATTTCCCTAATATACATTGTTGTCTACTAATACTCCAATTCAATAGTTTGATTCGGGAAAGTGGCGAATCTAAATCGTCACAACAGATTTCAATGCTCTCTGGAATGTCTTATTCATATCGTGAAGATTTTCTAGACGATAACAGTAGAGCAAACATTGTTGAAATCAATGAGACTGTTGAGGTACTGATTCTTTTAAATTGTGTATTTACATTGAGTAAATGGATTTTAGTGTAACATAGCGTACTTTATACAGGCGAAATCACTAATTGTATTAGGAACGGTGAAAGCATTTAGGAAGGATGTCCCTTGGTTTTACATGGGTTGCATGAGGTGTAACCGCAAGGTTCGACCCACGTACATTATTAKTGACAAGGATGATGGATCTGGTATGAAAGAAGAGAGGGAAARTTTTGATTGTAYGAYTRATAGATGCAGAGGTAAACARACAGAAGTGTTGCCAAAGTAAGTAACAATTACATAACAGTGCTTTTCATTAACTTCTGCACACTCACATTAATACTCACTTAATAATCATATAGGTTCAGAATTTCTTTGAAAGTTCAAGATGATACTGGAATTGTATCATTGACATTATTTGATCGAGAAGCTAATAAAGTTTTGAATCAAACGGCAACAGAGTTGTATGAAAAAGTTAAAGAGGTATGGTTAGATGTCTTATCCTTTTTCATAAGTTACTTTTTAGGACTCCAAATACCTGTTAATGTAAAAATTGTTTGTTTTCTTTGTTACAGTGGTGATTTAGACATGTTTCTGGATGAGTTGGATGTTTTTCTTTATCGGAGGTTTGCAATAAAAATTGACATAAGTGATTACAGTATTAAGAACAGCTGTTTCATTTATGGCATTTCAAAGCTAACAGATGATGATGCCATTTTGAGTGAATTGGAGATAAGCGCTTCTCAACATGTGTTGATTTCAGTTTGCAAAAAATATTATCCAATTTAGTCTAAAATCTTTATTACTCTAACATTATTTTAGCATTTACTCTGCAGCCTGCTGAATCAGAATCAGTAAATCTGCATTCAACAGATTTCAGTTCCCAAGATAAGTTAAAGGTACTACAAGTGCCATCTTCAATGTAATTTGTAAAGACAACTACAAGCAACTAATTCTTCAAATGGCACAACTAATTATTGTTTTATTTGAAGGATGTTGTTTCATATACTAGTGAGAATGCAACACCATCCGATGTTGATAAGAGCATTGCAGACAGTCCGGAATCAAAAGAAAAGTTGTGTGAGAGAAGGCTTGGCAAAAGAGTTGAAAGGAAGCGACTTTTTGAAAGTTCGTCTGATGCCGATCAGGAAGGAAAAGGATCGGCTATAAAAACATTAGAGATCCCTAAGGTTGAGAAGTAATATTTTTCTTCTTGATGAACAATTACATTGAACTCCCATTTGGTATTGTTTTGGTGGTTGAATTTTTTCTTGGATAATGATTTTTGCATTGGTGCTGATGTTATGATACACGTTTTCATTATTATTTGTATTGGATTTAATATTAAACGCATTTGCAGTACATACTTTTGTAATGTTTGATTTTCATGTTCATGAAAATTATATCTACTTGCAAGTATTTTACTATTTTTGGACAAGGAGGTTCTAGGCAGTTGAAAAGTAGCTCTGCAATGAGTATGGAAGCAACTTCAGGTGCGTTGCATGGTACATGCAGATCGTCTGCGTAGTTCTATATGAAGCAAGGAATTAGGATCAGAGGTTCTGCGTAGCACGAGGACAGACAGAGCTCTTACTTAAGAGGTAAGTGTATTATGTACAAAGTCCGTCTTCTATGTGAATTATCGTAGAGACCATCTTACATGAAGCAGAGATACCACCCCTGGAGCAAGAGAAGGAGGCAGAATTGTTCTAAGGTCAATCCGTAATCTGTTGGAGTTTTGAGAACTTCTTAGGAGGTTCATCAGGCTTGAAAACATCTAGACCTTCTTGTCTTGGCATTTTTTTTTAACTTTCAAGCATTGTACTTTCATTTCAATCGTATTGTACTTTCTGAATAGTTATGTAAACAGAGGTTATTTTTAACCTCTACCTTCAATTAGACTTATGTTTTTAATTCAAGTGAGAATTTTCTTTCTTTTTAACTTATGTTGGAGTATCGAGAACTTCTTATGTTTTTCTTCCTTTTTCCTAATTTAACAAAAAGGATCAGCTACAAAAACGTTAAAAATCTTTCCACTTCAGAAGTAATATTCGTGGTTCGGGTGTACAAGTACATTGTCTCTCGTATTTGGTATTGTTTTGGTGATTGGATTTTGGTTTGTACAATGATCTGTTAATTGGTGAATGTAACTTCCTATACGCTTCCATTATTTTTTGTTTTGGATTTAATGTAAACTTTTTCGCATGAGTAACACAGACGCTCTGCACTTAAGTGTTGAGAAAGACCTCTATCTCTTCATGTGCTACGTTGAGGCTGCCCTTCTTCATACAGATCATAACAGAGGTTCTGCACGTGCTACATTGTCAATCTAACCATGGCTCCGTACTTCATACAGAGCCTCACAGAGGCTCTGCACTTAAGTGTTAAGAAATAGCTCTGTCTCTTCATGCCCTACGTTGAGGCTCGACCTCTTACTCTAAAAGTGGACTTCAAACTTGTAACTCTGGACCATCTGAGTCTTAATTCTGGGAAATTTATTCACCCTTGTGTCTGTCAAGCCTTACTTCGTTCTTCATACAGACCTTAACAGAGGTTCTGCTTGTGCTAGGGCGTCACTCTAACCCTGCTTCCCTGATTCAGACAGAGCTAGACAGTGGCTCTGCACGTAAGTGTTGAGAAAGAGCTCTCTCTCTCTCTTCATGCCCTACGTTGAGGCCCCGCCGCTTACTCTGAATGTGGACTTCAGAATTGTAACTCTGTACGGTTCGAGTCTTAACTCTGAAAATTTCTTGACCCTTGTGTCTGTCAAGCCTCACTCCGTTCTTTATACAGACCTTCATAGAGATTCTGCAACTGGTACGTGGTGAATCTGAGCCAGGCTCTGTGGTTTATACAGAGCTCCACAGAGGCTCTGCACTTAAGTGTTGAGAAAGAGCTTTGTCTCTTCATGTTGTACGGTGAGGCTTCCCTTCTTCATACAGACCTTCACAAAAGTCCTGCACGTGATACGTGGTCACTCTAACCCTGCATCTGTGCTTCATACAGAGCTACATAGAGGCTCTGCACTTAAGTGTTGAGAAAGAGCTCTGTGTCTTCATGTCCTACCTTCAGGCATCACCTCATACTCTGGAAGTGTACGTCAGACTTGCAACTCTGCACCGTACCCGGTTTAAACTCTGGGAACTTTGTTCACCCTTGAGACTGTCAACCCTGACTCTGTTCTTCATATAGACCTTGACAGAGGGCCTGCACGTGCTACGCCATCAATCAAACTCTGCCACCATGCTTCATACAGAGCTATACAGAGGCTCTGCACGTAAGTGTTAAGAAAGAGCTATGTCTCTTCATGTGCTACGTTGATGTTTCCCTTCTTCATGAACACCTTCATAGAGGTTCTGCACATGCTATGTCGTCACTCTAGCACTGCCTTCGTGCTTCATACAGAGCTACACAGAGGCTCTACACTTAAGTGTTGAGAAAAAACTCTGTCTGTTTATGTTGTACGTTGAAATTCCCCTTCTTCATACAGACCATGACAGAGGTTATGCACGTGCTATGCCGTCACTATAACACTACCTCCGTGCTTCATACAGAGCTACACAGAGGCTCTGCACTTAAGAGCTGAAAAAGAGTTCTGCCTCTTCATGTACTATCTTGAGCCTCCGCCTCTGACTCTGAAAGTGTACTTCAACCTTGTAAGTCTGTACAGCTTTAGGCTTAAACTCCGGAAAGTTTTTTAACCCTTGTATCTGCCAAGCATGACTCCATTCTTCAAGCAAACCTTCACATAGGTTTTGCACGTGCTATGCCCTTTCTCCAACTGTGACTAGTTTGCTTACAGATTTATACAATAACTTTCATGCGTGGTTTGATAGACGTACAATGTGCATTAATGTTTAAACCATGTAATATGGCTCCAAAATAGTACTAAACAGACTTCAGATTTTGGATTTAAATTGTAAATTGTAATTCTTGAGTATCAATGTGCAGAATTCCCTGAAACCAGTTCTAAAATGTTACTTTCAGCATGTCTCAGTCTGAAATATCATACAAATGTTACTAATTGATGTCTGTATGTCCATTCATATATAACTGTAATTTTTTTCATTGTAAATGTTTTCTCAAATTTATTTCACATACTTATTAGAGAACTATAGAAAATTCACATTCCATGAATTATTTATCATTCATCAGCCTTGGCAGATTGTTGAAATGTTTCTTTCAACAAAAACCCACGGCTTTAAATTTTCCAGAGTTGTATTATGTAGTAATTTGACAACCTTAAAATAAAACTCCAATACCTTTTCTCCAACTTAGAACTCTGTTATGACATTGGTTTTCATAGTTTGCCGGATTTATAAATATGTTAAGGTAGAAATTTGAAATATGCAACATGCTTTTCCAATAGCCTATTACTTCTGGTCTTCTACACTTAATAGTTAAAAGTCTGAATTCCATACTTGAACATTAAAATGCATCCTTTGCATAACATGGTGAAGACATAATTTATTTTAGGTGATAATGTTATAACTTAATTTAAATATATAATTTATATTACATTTAGGTTTTCCTCATAAGTGAAGAATGTTATTGAACATGTATATAATACAATCATTAATTGCAAGTGGAAACAAGATTCACCAAAACACTGTTTCTACGCAAAAGCCTATGAAGAATTGAATGATGCGAGGTTTTGAACATGTATATCACTCTTTTAAATTTTTATGCATAAACACAAAGTCATATGTAAAATCTGTTCCAAAATAAGATGAATATATTTAAAGTCATATTAACAAATTATATAGCCCTTTCCTTCGCTTTCTAAAATCCTGTGAAATCAAAGTTACTGAAAAGTATACTAAAAATGAAATTTGCACACAGTGAAAATATGAATGACATATACACATTAAACATTGTATCTACACATACTAACTCTTCCAGTAATACCTTGGTAGCTATCTGGTTTTTACAAAAGGATTTGAAAGGAATGAAGCCTGGTCCGATGCAATCACCCTTCTTTTCATAATCATAAAAAACAAAGTGATTGCATCAAACCAGGAAATATCCCTCACAAACCACTACTTATTTTTTTCTCTGAAGAGAGCATTCATTCATCTTCTTCTTCTTCCTTTAAGCCCTCATATTGTTTCATCTAATTTTAATCTGCAAATAGGCACCAAAAAAAGGAGACTGGAGTGTAGTGTAGAAATTTATTGGAAACTGTAAAGGACATATAGTATTAAATATATACATATATTTTAAAGTGACGGTTGAAATGACCTCTCAGAGTTTTAAATAAATTTATACTCTTTTCAAATCCGGTAATTGTTAAAATAAAATATTCCCTACTCCTCTCCTCTCACCCATTTTCGACTCTTAAACTTCTCTGTTCCTTTTTCATCGCAAACCAGATATTCATGGAGGATTGTTTCATGTTATCTCTGATTAAACAAACGGAGCACAAAAGGCGTATAACAATGGAGGTTCCGGCAATGTCAGAGAAGTTTTCTGACCAAGAAGAGTTACCATTCCCAAAACTTATAAGGATATCAATGATCGATCCCTATGCAACTGATTCTTTAGGAGATGAAGATGACCACATTTTTGGACGGTGGCATGTAAAGAAGTATGTTAATGAAATTAACATACAACCGTCAGGCAAAGCTACAATGATGCCTCTCAATGGGAATATGACGACAACCAGAAACAGCCCATGTGATGTAGATTCGAAACAGAAAGCTATGAAGAAGAAGAAAAGTCCAGAGGGTAATGTTAGGAAGTTCCGAGGAGTACGGAAAAGACGTTGGGGTAGATGGGCAGCGGAGATTATGGATCCGGCTACACGCCAGCGGTTGTGGTTGGGAACATATGATACGCCGGAGGAGAATGCCATGGTATATGATAATGCTTCCATTAAACTCCGTGGTGTTGGTGCTATTACAAATTTCGTTATGCCAACGGTTTTGGAAAACCCACCGCCGACGAATGTTACATCAATGTCCGACCATCATCCCAACCGAAAGTCACTCAAGATTCCACTTGTAGATGCACCACCTTTGGATTACCAATCATTTGATTCAATACAACTTGGTGATGAAGTTGCATCTTTTAACATGCATCATGATTTCGGGTCTATAAACCTGAAACAATTTGATGATTTTGGTATAACCCCTATAGCTCATGACTTCATTCCTCAGACTGGATGTGGATCTCCCTCAACTTTAAAAATAGATAACTACTTCGAAGATATTTCAGATAGTACTTTAGATTTATGGTTTTCCTAAAATGGCTAGAACTTATTTTACTTAGTTGTTGGAGCTGTTTAATTAAGTACTATTGTATTATTTTGTTAGTATCGTATTAATGCATATTTTTTATTAACATTTAGTCATTTGACTGATTAGTTTTATTTTGTTTTTCAAACAGTTGTAAATGATGTTTTTTTACAAATTATATTTATGTCACAAAAAGGGTTGACCCATATATACAGAGCTTAAGTGTAATGGGATTTATTCACGTATTCATGTAAGCGTCATAAATGTTGAAGAGAAATCTGAATTGTAATTGTGGAAAAGGAGTTCAGATTTGTGTTCAGATGTTTCTGTGATGTACCTTATAAGTCTGGCATACAATTCTGACTCTACCCAATGGAACAAAAGTCCAGACTTTCATGTACAAGATGTGAAAGTCTGTAAATAATTACTCCAGATTTAGTGACACATAGACATATCAGAGTTGTTTCCTCTATCCGAAACATCAATTATGGGAAGAGAATTCTGAATTTCCATTGGAGAAAAGGAATCAAGATTTATTCTCAGATTTCTAAGGCATGCTACCTTGTAAGGTTGGCATACAATTATGCACGTTGACAAAGACATACTCGTCCAGACTTGTATGTCCAGACTTATAAGCCTAATACAATGGACCCAGACTTAGTTAGACATAGAACATATCAGAGTTGTTTTTTTCGTTTAAAACATCAATTAAGCCACGAAAAAAGGAGAATAAACGTGTAAAGGGAGAAATGCCACTTAAGTAGACTCATTTAAACCGTAAGTGAAGTTGTGTGTGTGGAGTGACTCTCTGCATACAACACTTCAACGTTTTTAGGCCTTCTCATTAGCTCTGACTCCACAATCTGGTACATAACTCTGAAAAACGAACGTGCAAACAAAAACTGACAAGCAGTTTCTTAATTTACGTTGTATTTAGACCTTCAATTTACGGTTTCCATAACCGCCTCATTTGGGTAATCATTTGCTTTTTATAAAATTATTGTTATCACATACAACTTCCATTTCCTACTACAGTAAAAAAAAAGCATTCTTTAACACAACTGACTAACTGAGTCCATTTTCTCACGATTATTCATTCTAATGTTTTATTATGTATTGACTTCATGTACTGGTTTCTTGTTGAAGAATTAACTTTCTTGCAGATCTTTTAAAAAAGAAATTTGATGGATGCTAGAGAAAGGAGAAAATTTAGAAAGACGGTTTTGAATAGTAGTAGACAGTCATTGAAATCTACATCATCAAATGTTGAAGGTATCTGATTCAAAAGCATTTTGAATTCTATTTTGAATGAGACAAATATTACCTGTTCAAGAATTCTGTTGAAGGCATTTTTTGACAATCATCCTTTCCTTTAACTTTTTACAGATAATATCTCAAATTATGATAGGCAATTAGAATCTTCATCTCAAAGGAATAATATTCCCTACCATAATGAGAATATGGATCCAAACACATGTCCACAGTTTCAACATACAAATTTGGCACATTCTTCTTCAGATGTGACTATCACAAATCCATTATCTGATAGTCCTAGTGGTATGTGTAATCTCTTGTACAACTCATTTTTAAAGTAATGCTTCAAACACATTTTCAATACTAACAAGTGTTTTACATTACTTAAATTTGTATATTTTAAACAGCAAGTGTTCATGTAAACAAACACTACTGGTTACGTTCTACCGCCAATTCATCCATGCCTTTATCGACAATAGACCAAGATTCTTCTATGGTTCGGTTATCAGCAGGGCATCATAGATTACAAAGAAGGAATATAAATGTAGCTGATATACAAATCATTGATACTACATCAGATGAAGAACCGGACCATCCAGTAACAGCTACAAACATAATTGAAGGAATATTTGAAGGTAATTATTGATTAATCAAATGTTTAATACTTACAGTTAGTTATTAGATTCGAATTTATTAAACAGAGTACTTGGATYACGGTGATGAAAGTGTTATTTGTGAATGCTGTGATGCAAAACTATGGAGAGATGAAGCTCTTCGAGGGAAAAAATACGGGATGAAAACAAGTTACTCCCTTTGTTGTCTTTATGGCAAAGTTCAGCTTCCAAAAGAGAAAGAGATGGGTACTTCTTATGTAAATTTGTTTTGTTGTGCGGACTCAAAAAACAAATACTTTATGAAGAACATTCGTCGTTATAATTCAATGTTCTCATTTACATCAATGGGTGGGAAAATTGATACTTCCATTAATAGTGGAAATGCACCATACATATACAGGCTTAATGGTCAAAACTACCATAGGATGGGTAGTCTTCTACCACCAGATAGAACAAAACCGAAATTCTCTCAACTATACATATATGATACCGAAAATGAAGTTTCAAATAGACACAATTCATTTAGGTATACATTCATCCTTATTGTAATATCTCTTAATAGATTTACTTGAATTACATAGTATGGTTATATTAATGGTCACTCTGATTTTATGTTTGTTATGATTTGCTTAGTGAAAAAGAAGAAGCCTTTGCATCAAATTATGATTCCCTTGATATTGAGATTATTCAATACTTAAAGAACATACTAGATGCAAAAAATGTGTTGGTGAAGCCTTATAGAATTGCAAGAGATTGTTTTGAATGCTACCCGGATGTCAAGCTAAAGTTACGGCTAATTGGAAAAAGAGAAAAGGATGGAAGAACATATAACCTTCCAACTGCTTCAGAGGTTGCAGCTTTAATTGTTGAAGATGATGGTGGTACAATTGAAAAAAGAGATATCATTATACAACATCAGACAGGTTATTTACAAGCAATAATTGAATTACATCCTTCTTACCTTCCTCTTCAATATTCGTTGTTATTTCCATATGGAGAAGATGGTTACAGAGTTGACATTCCTCATAGAGAGGTAACATCTTCAAGCAAAAGTAAAAGAACAACTGTAACAATGAGGGAGTTCTTCGCCTTCAAAATTCAAGATAGAAGAAATATGTTTTCATTACTTCTCAATGCAAGGAGGCTTCTACAGCAATTTATTGTTGATTGATACACAATGATTGAAAGTGAGAGGTTGCATTATATACGTAAGCAGCAGAAAGTCCTAAGGTGCGAGACATATGATAATCTATGCAATGTACAAGAACAAGGAGAGTGGGATGTTTCAAACATTGGACAACGTGTTATACTACCTTCTTCTTTCACCGGTGGTGCTCGGTACATGATGCAAAATTATTTGGATGCAATGTCCCTTTGTAAATGGTATGGATATCTTGACTTGTTTCTAACCATGACTTGCAATCCAAAATGGCCAGAAGTTAGAAGATTTGTTAAGGACACAGGCCTAAATCTAGAAGACAGGCCTGACATTCTTTGTCGTTTATTAAGATCAAGCTTGATGCACTTATTAGAGAATTGAAAGAGAATGAGTTTTTTGGCAAAATTCAAGCATGTATGTTCAATTTATGATACCAGTATGAACATATTTCTTCATACTTTTAGTCTTATCTTTATTAATTTAAATTGTAACTTTTTTGTAGTTGTTTATACAATTGAATTTCAAAAGCGTGGCTTGCCTCACAGTCATATCTGTCTGTTTATGCACCGAGATTTCAAGCTACCTACTGTTGAACAGATTTATCCTATCATCTCAGCTGAAATCTCGACAAAAACAGTGATCCAGACTTGTACTTACTTGTAAAAGAGTTCATGATGCATGGACCATGTGGTGAAGAAAACATTAATTGTCCATGCATGATTGATAGAAAGTGTTCAAAAAAATACCCAAAGAAATTTTCTGAACACACTTCAATTGATGTTAATGGTTATCCTGTATACTGCAGACGAGTTTATGGACGTTTTATTGAAAAACCAGGTGTTAAACTAGACAACATTAAATGTCGAATGTCGTTCCATATAATAAACATCTGTTGAAAAGATATCAAGCCCACATTAATGTTGAGTGGTGCAATCAKGCATCTTCAATCAAGTATTTGTTCAAATACATCAACAAGGGTCCAGATAGAGCTACTGTTGCAATTATAGAAAACAATGATGATGCGGTCATTGTTAATGTTGTTGATGAGATAAAACAGTATTATGATAGTAGATACCTTTCTGCATGTGAAGCTTCATGGCTTATTTATGGATATGATGTTCATTACAGGACTCCTTCCGTGTTAAGACTTCCTTTTCATCTTCCGGGACAACAACAAGTAGTGTTTGGTGCTGAAGATAATATTGATAATGTGCTAAACAGACCATCTGTGGTGTCCTCAATGTTATTAGCTTGGATGCATTGTATCAAATTTATCAAGAAGCACGAGAACTCACTTACGTTGAATTTCCTACAAAGTTTGTATGGAAATTGGACGAACGACGTTGGGATCGAAGGAAAAAAGGGTTCTCAATTGGACGGATTCATTCAGTTTCTCCTACTGTAGGAGAAGGGTATTACTTACGAATTCTTCTGAATAAAGTCAAAGGTCATAAATCATTTGAAGACATTCGTACAGTTAATGGAAAAACAGTTTTTATTTTTAGAGATGCGTGTTATGATATTGGGCTTTTAGACGATGACAAGGAATATATTGAAGCCATTGAAGAGGCAAATTTAACTGCATCTGGTTTTTATCTCTGTTTCTTATTTGCAACCATGCTGATTTCAAACAGTTTATGTAGACCTGAATTTGTTTGGGAAAAAACATGGCAATACTTAACAGATGGGATTCTATACAAGCAACAAATTGTTTTACAGTCGCCAGGTATGTTAATTCTATATGTTAAGCATAGAGTTATACAACTATTATCAAAAACTATGGTTGTTATTAAATTGTATATACTTTTAATTTCATGTATTAATTGTGTACATTTATATTATCTTCTAACAGATTTATCTCTTAATGAACAACAAGTGAAGAATCTAACTTTGTTCGAAATTGAAAAGATTTTGCTTCGTAACAATTCCACGTTGAAAGACTTCACTACACTGCCTTATCCTGATAATGACTCGCTTGAATCCTCAAACAACCGTTTGATTGCAAAAGAACTGGACTATAATCATCATAATTTACAAGATGAGTTTCAGACACTTGTAACTGCTCTAACAAATGAGCAAAGAGGTGTGTATAATGAAATCATGACTGCGGTTGAAAAGAAAAAAGGTGGTGTATTTTTTGTTTATGGGCATGGCGGAACAGGTAAAACATTCCTATGGAAGACCTTGGCTGCATCAATAAGATCTAAANAAAAGAAAAAAGGTGGTGTATTTTTTGTTTATGGGCATGGCGGAACAGGTAAAACATTCCTATGGAAGACCTTGGCTGCATCAATAAGATCTAAAAGAGAAATTGTTTTAAATGTTGCTTCCAGTGGTATTGCATCCTTACTTCTTAACGGTGGCCGAACAGCACACTCTCAGTTTCACATCCTGCTCATTCTCAATGAAGATTCTCTTTGCCACATGAAGCCAAACAGTGATGTTGCGAGCTTAATAAAGAAAACCACTTTGATAATATGGTATGAGGCACCAATGGTTCATAAACATGCATTTGAAGCATTAGATAGAAGTATGAATGATATTTTCAATGCTCAACACAGTAGTGACTCACATATGCTTTTTGGTGGTAAGGTAATTGTTTTTGGAGGAGATTTCAGACAGATTCTACCGGTTATTCCAAATGCAGGTAGACAAGACATCGTAAATGCATCATTAAGTTCATCTTACATTTGGGAAAAATGCAAAGTCCTAAAGTTGACTAAAAACATGAGCCTAACTGCAAACAGTGAAACTTCATAAATTGAACAAACAAGGGATTTTGCAAAATGGATTTTGGACTTAGGAGAAGGAAAAGTTGGAGGTGATGATGATGGTGAAGCAGTTATTGTGATACCTCATGATCTTCTCATTAACGATTGCATTCATCCCATATCTGTATTAAATGAGTTTGTCTATCCCTCAATTCTTGAAAACATCAACAACTCAGCTTATTTTCAAGAACGAGCAATACTTGCCCCAAAAAATGAAGTAATTCAAGAAATAAATGATTGGTTGCTGTCATTGTTTCCAGGAGAAGAAAAGGAGTACTTAAGTTCAGATACGTTATGTGAATCAGAGCACCTTCATGATGAGTTTGATAAAACTTTTGTACTCTCCTGATGTTTTAAATGGTCTTAAATTATCAGGAATACCAAACCATAAGATTTTACTAAAAGTTGGTGTTCCTATCATGTTACTGAGGAATATTGATCAGAAATCTGGATTATGTAATGGTACTAGACTGTGGGTGTTAACATTGGGAAATCGAGTAATAGAAGCACAGGTCATATCTGGAAGCAATATTGGAAGTCGTACGTTCATTCCAAGAATGTCTTTAACACCTACAGACAAAAGGATACCATTCAAATTTCAAAGGAGACAGTTTCCAATTGTTGTATGTTTTGCCATGACCATTAATAAGAGCCAAGGACAATCATTATCAAAAGTTGGTTTATTTCTAAGACAACCGGTCTTCACGCATGGTCAGTTATATGTTGCTTTATCCAGAGTCAAAAGCAAGCAAGGTTTGAAAGTACTAATTATGGATGATGATGGCGTTATTGACAGTAAAACAACGAATGTTGTATACAAAGAAGTGTTTAGTAATATATGATACATTGTTCTTATTTTATTAATGGTTTACATATTTAACTTTTATTTGTGCAGTTTATGTTGTGTTATAAATATTGGTTTACAACTTAATTTTATTAACTCATATTATTATTAATTCTTAAGAGGCTTATTTTTCATTTATATTATGCATTATAATTATCCAACCATAGAGGATCTGCATGTGCTACGTAAATTCTCTCACCCGGACTCCGTCTTTCATACAGAGCTTTAAAGAGGGACTGCATATACTACGCAGAGTCTATGACCAAACTTCCGTAATTCATACAGAGCTTTAGAGAGGTACTGCAGAAACCACGCAGGACCTCTATGCATGATTTCGTGCTTCATGCAGAGCTACACAGCAGCTCTGCATCTACAATGCAGAGCCTCTGTGCACGGAAAATTTATACAAATTTTTAGCGTTGGCTAATTTTACCAATTAACTCTTGAAAAAAGCTTCACACTTATAACCAGATTGGTCGTCTTGATTTAGAAATCTTGCAACGCTGGATATTGTCCGTTGTGAACTCTGGAGAATTTCTTAGACCTTGTGTTTGTCAAGCCTGATTCTGTCCTTCATACAGAGCTTAACAGAGGTCTGCACGTGCTTTTCCGTCAATCTGAACCAGACTACGTGTTTCATGCAAAGCTGCACAGAGGTCCTGCATTTAAGTCATGAAAAAGAGCTATATCTCCTAACGTAATGCATCGATGCTCTGTCTCTTACTCTGAAGATGACCTTTAGACTTGTACCTGTAAATAGTTTCCGTCTTCATCTTTAGAAACTTTTTTACGCTTGTGTCCTTCAAACCTGCCTCCGTCCTTCATACAGAGTTTCATAGAGGCTTTGTACTTGTCTTGAGTAACTCTCTGCATGTACTACCCAGAACCTATGATTCCCTTTGCTTGTCTCATACAGAGGTATAAAAAGGATCTGCATGTACTACGCAGCGCAGCATACTGAATCTACATTGTTCGTCTTCATTTAGAAGTTTTTCTGATCATCGAAGGACAAGTCGTCCTTTGTATATGTAACATTTAATTCTCGAGTAAGAGCATCTTTATATCAAAAAAATTAATCGCACTTGTACCTTTGTTTAAGTTTATAAATTACCTCGGATTAGTAATTGTTTATAAAATACATATCAGTTTCGCTTAATTTTTGTCATTAACCCGTGTATCTGAACCTAGTGTGTGTGTGTATATATATATATATATATATAGAGAGAGAGAGAGAGAGAGAGACTTTGTTTCAAATACAACCTATCACATTATTACAACCAATGTAACTCAATAAATTAAAATATTTATGGAAATGATGAGAGTTCATTTATTATGATTTAAATATTTATGGAAGATGAATACGGTTCATTAATTATGATTAATATTTTATATTAGAAAATAATTAAAATTTTTATAAATTACATATTCATCAAATTAAATGGACGGTTGAGATTGAGTTGTATTGGTTGTACAAATGTAAGAGGTTGTATAATAACTCACATCTATATATATATATATATATATATATATATATTTATATTTATATTTATATAGGGGTGGGTTCAAATAAAAACCACTCAATTTGTAAAAACTGTGAAAACCTCATTCAACCAATCATAATTTTTCATTTTGTTCATTTTTTTGTAATTTGAGAGGTTGATTAACCATTTTTATTATGGAGGGTGTTAATCATGGATATTATTATTTTCATTATTTTAATTTTAGAGAAATACATGAAACAGTTTCATTAAAATTTCATTAAGTAGTATATGAAACAATTTCATAACCACATGTGAAACAACTTCATCAAAAAAAAATTATATAAAACAATTTCACAAGATTAACAATTTCATGAAAAAAAATTCATAAGATTAACGACGGATGAGAGTAGTTTTTACAGTTTTTACAAATTGGAGTGGTTTTCATTTGATCGCTCCTATATATATATATATATATATAGAGAGAGAGAGAGAGAGAGAGAGAGAGAGAGAGTTAACTACAAATTTGGTCCATGTGGTTTACATAAATTAATGAGTAAGGTCCTTGAAAGAAATTATTAACAAGGGACATCTCTACAGTTTTATTTTTAAAACGGATATGGTAATTTATCTAACTCATTCAGTTAAGTTTCCGTTAGTGTGAGGACATTTTTGTCTATTCACCTTCCGTTTTCCTTAACTTCACTTTTCAATAACAAATTTGGCCTATCATACTACTTTTACTTTTGTAACATATCGATCTAACTTACATTAATATAACATATTTGATACCTCAAACAATTTTTTATTTTTATAATAGATTTGGTCCCTCTCTCAATTTTCATTTTTAGGATTTGGTCCCTCCATTTAATCAATATTGATGGTACAAATATATATTTTTTGTATAGAATTAGCAAAATAAATAAATAAATAAAAGTTCTAAAACTATATATCCGGCAATATATTAAATAATAAGATATAAAATTATAAATTTAAGTAATTTCATAAAACTAATTAACATAAAAAAAAAATTATAGTACTTACATAAAATACAAAAAAATAAATTTAACTATTATATACAGTAAAAATTATCAGGTATTTAGTTTTAAAACTTTTTATTTTCAACTAATTAAAAAATTATCAAATTTATATTTTACTTGCGCTAAAGGATTTCATGAAATTAATGTTTTTAAAAAGATAAAATATTTAATGACAAAATCTAAGCTTCAGATTTTATTTAATTATTTTGCTAATTATATTTAGAAAATATATGTTTATGCCATTAACTTCTATTGATTAAATGGAGGGATCAAATGCCAAAAATAAAAGTTGAGGAAGCGACCAAATATGTTATAAAAATAAAAAATTGTTTGAGGGATCAAATTTGTGATACTAATATAAATTAGTTTGAGAGATCAAATACAAAAGAAAAATTAGTTTGAGAGATCAAATATTTTACAAAAGGAAAATTAGTATGAGAGATCAAATTTGTTATTGAAAAGTGACATTTAGGAAAGTGGAAGGTGAATAGACAAAAATGTCCCCTCACTAACGAAAACTTAACTGAGATCTGTTATAAAAATGAAACTGTAGAGACGTCCCTTGTTAAAAGTTTCGTGTGTGTGTATATATATATATATATAAATCTTTATTATTTACACCACAGTTTTTGTTCTGTACATGGTAAAAAGTTTGTTAGATTTTTAATATATCCCACGAAATATATGATTTATAGTTTTTATTTATTTTTATATTAAAATTTACAACTTAAAAAACACTATTGATTATATGATTAAACTAGAAATGTATTCACGTAAAATATATTTTTATTTTAATGTTTTGTTTTATTTTTTGTCTTTGTTGACATAATACGCTTTATATGGTTTTAAAAAAGATAATGTTTTACTTTTGAATAAAAATAAATTTGAAAAAATATATCGATATTAACATCAAATTAACTATTTAAAAATTCTCGTTCTTTTATACAATTTCTCTAATTCGATTTTTTTATTATAATTTAATTTAGGTCAAATTGTGAAGTAATTTATTTTTGACTTAAATTTTTTATAAAGATAATGATTATGTTAGAACTCAATGATTATCTTAATTATATTTTATAATTTTTATATTTAAAATGAGATATTTATCCTATATTTGATTAGGTTATCTGCAGTTAGTTATACGTTCAAAAATGAAGTTTTAATAAGTTGTACTTACGTACAATTTACTTATAATCTTAAATTATAAGTAATATGCATTAATATACAGTATTGCATACATAAAGAATGGTTTTTAAGAGTTTTTATTGAATGCTTTATAATATAACTAGAAGAGTACTCGCACAATGCAGCGAGATACATATTTAATATTTCATTTTATTTTTTATCTCAACCAATGTTATAATATGGTCTTATTGTTTTTGAATAAAATATAAATTTGAAAATATCATAAAAAACTGACAAAAATTTATTGATATTAGTATCAAATTAACTAAAATTTACTGACAAAAATTTATTCGAAAATCCGCCGGTGGTTTTTTTTTTAATATTTATTTAAATATTTATTTAGTTTTAAATATTATTAAAAAAATTCAAAATTTCCGGCAGATGTTTCCGCCGGAAATCCGCCGGAAAAAGAATTTCATTATAAAAATTTTATTTTTTGTTTATTTTTTCAATAAATATTTAAAACCTGTGAATCTGTAAAAATATGGATAAAACTAAAAAATTAAAATGCAACCAAATATCATACATTGATTAAAGTAAACAATTGTTACAAAACATATACAATTTAAAGTATCACACAATGTTACAAACAAACTAAATTGTTCCAAATAAACAAACGATATACAATTAGATGGCGTTGGGAATTGTGATTGACAGAGTTCGTTAACCAAAGCAGTCATATCATTCATTTGTTTCAGAAGTTGCTCCTGCACCGTCCGTCGACGCTGATTTTCTTCTTGTAAATCCAGAACTTGGGCATCTAAGTTTACAATTTTCTATAAAATAAATAAAACGTTATAATATTTAATATGAATTATAAACTAGATCGATAAACATCATCAAAAGAAAAAAAGACACATACCTGCTTTTCCGAAGACGATAAACCAGCTTCCATGTAGTTCCCGGTCAAGACACAATTGGGATCTTGGTTGTACCCAAACCCAAATAGATGACCTTTTTTGCTTCCCCCAACCGCTTGCTCCCACAGCTATTTATCAACTAAGGGATAGGTAGAGGGATCATCGATGTATCTTTGGCTAAGACCCGTTGAATACTCATCCTATATATGGTTTAAAAACGATTGCAAGTCAATTTTGACAGCATGACGACTGTAAATGGGACGTTTCCAGGCAAAATAATAGTGATAGATACGAAAATTGTATCCAAAACAATCCTAACGTTTGCCCAACAATTGGCAACCCAAACTAATGCATGATATATACGTAATTTCTAACGTAAACAATCTTAATGTTTGCCCAACAAATGGCAACCCAAACTAAAGCATGATATATACGTAATTTCTAACGTAAACAATTCTAATGTTTGTCCAACAAATGGAAACCAAACTAAAGCATGATATATACGTAATTTCTAAC